ATTTTCCTTGCTCTTTTCCCATTGTCTCTGGGAAGCTCACAAGCAGCAGAAACTGTAGGCGTGTTGGAAATGAACTCTTTACCTCCGAAGAATGCTAATATCCAGCTAAGATACACTCTGTAACATTTGCAACAGGATACTATGGCTACATGCAAACTATGGAGTTCATTTAAAGCAGGCGCTTAGAATGCCTAGCCATAGAAGTATGTGGATTTAAAGCACTGTTTATCACTAAGATCTGAGGAGGCAGTTTCTGTGATATGTGTTGAAATGAATTGCCAACATCTATCCAAAGGATTAAGCATTCTAATTTAATTGAATAGATAAATCAACTCATTAGATTCTATTAGATTAATTAAATAAAAAGAGCTGGTTTACTCAAGATTAAACCCAACTGATCAGTCAAGAACAATTTTAATAGTGCGGGGTTAATTTTAATTACTGGCACTGAGAATTAAGGGAACAATTTAAATTTAGTTACTCTGATTCTGGAAAATTACAGTAACAGGAATTTTTAAAAAAATAGTTGCTTTCTAATAATCAGTGAAAGCTTTTCTTTATTAAACTGTATATTTTCTTATTATCATGATACAATACCTGAAAAATTCACCATACAGTGATTTTTATATTATGTGTATCTGTTAAATAACTGTGTTAGTTATAAAAACAAGTAACTAATCTAAAGTTCTTTATTATCAGACTTAAATATATGCTTATTCACTATCCAATGTACGGATGAATAAAATTTCAAACCAAAATGCAAGTCAAGCAAGATAAAGATAAAATCTTTCACCAGTCATAACACCAGTTGGGTAGGAGCAAGAGCTTCATAAAAACTCCTGTAGCAATTCATGTTAGAGTTCCCTCTCTACCTGTGGGTGACTGTTCCCTTGGCTGAGTCCAAGGCATTCACTGTCTCACCTGCACTGACAGTAATGGCTTCCATGAACTGGTCTCTCCATGAATGAGTTCCTACTACCAAAGCCAAGTTTGTCTTCTTGATGAGCTTGTCCACTGTACTCTGTCAATTATAGGAACACAGAGAATACTGGTTTTATTACAGGCCTTCCTTTGGAGCATGTTTCAGTCAACATGGAGGCTGAATGAAGATTTTAGGTAGCTTTTCCAAGCAGATGCCTTCCAATTGTGTTGTGACCACATGACCCAGAATTTCCATTCTCTATAAGGTTTCTTGTAATTATAGTCTTAATCCTTTTCGAAAGCATCAACTTCAAGAAGCTAACTGAAGCCATAGACATGAAAGAGTAAATAAAAGAAATAAAAGATAATAAAGGTCAAACTATAAATACATCAGGATGTTCATTTTATGACAAGTTATTTGCCCAAAGTCACGATTGCTTCATTAAGAAAAGGGGCACTTTCTGCTTTTTTATTCATATATATCTTTCTCCCTCCTTGGTAAATATAATTCTTCCTTCTCAGCCTTTTCTCTGCTTTTCCACAGACTGCAGTGTACCCTGCCAATGGATAAATTATTTCCCATTCATAATTCTGTTTCATAATTGTGGGAACCTAGCATACTCAGGTTCCTCTACAGTGTTCAGTGAGTCTTAGCAGATTTGACCTGGATTTAGATAGACATGTTGCTAAAAACAATTTCCAGGACAACCAACTTTCATAGAGATAGAAACCTCATTGAGCTAGATGTAAGGACATGTCAGTATGGCCCTTGAGTCATTTCATGGGAAGGATTAACAACTGGAAACAGCAGGACAAAATTTAGCACATTTCCCAGTTAATTTCTCACATATATCAATGAGATAATTCTTTTAGCTAAAAATGACCACACATTTGGTTAAGTTGGTTCTCACATTATATATCTTGAACTCATGAATATATTTAGATGTAGGACTTTTCATTCATCAGAAGACAGTTGTGGAACTTCTGGACATCACATTCTCTTATTGTTAAGTAGGACTATATTCTTTAAAACATTTGCTACTTTATTTCTTTCAAACTTGCTCAGACTTTCATCTTTCCCTTTCTATGATCTCATTTTATTTATTCTTCTCATTCTCTTCTTCTCTTCCCTACCAGGACTTAGCCTGGACTTTTGCGTTAGCTTAGTTTTCCTTTTCAACCCTCTTCTTTTCCTGTACCCTCCCTTTTTCCTTTTGGCCTCCTTCCTTTGTCCTGCTTAGCTCTTGTAACCAGTTCTGCTTACTGTACCTCCTTTCCTGCTGTTCCTTCCCTCACTTCCTGCCAAAAGCTCTTGGTGCACAGCACTGACCTTGAATTCATAGGACTCTTCTATGATGACCTCCAGTTTTGGATGTTCACCCAGTATTGGTTTTCCCATTTCTGCAATACGTTTGGCTTCCTCTTCCTCCATTGTCAGCTTTCTTTCTGTCACCTCTGTGGGAAAAACATGGATATACAGTAAGTATCTGATATACTACTAAAAGAACAAGGGAGAAGGTAATGGCAAAAGGGCTGGATTGGGAAATAAAGTGGCTTTGTTCCTTTTCCAAGCGCCACATCTGCCTTCTTCCATAAACTGTTCCCCAGAATTATCCAGGTTTTGTAGCAGTGTATGATGATTAAGGTCTCACCCCATTCCCAGGCAGACAGAAGGTTTGATATGCAGATTTATTGCAGAAAACTAGGTAGTTTTACTTAGGATGAAACTCATCAAAAAGCACACCACAATCTTGCCCTTTATATATGTTAACCCATAGGTTGAAATCCTGGACCAATCCTGGCTATTTTTCTAAGTCAACAGCTGCTTGTTTCCTGTCTATGAAGATTTCTGCCATTTGTCCATTGTTTACCAAACAGTTTCCTCTTATATGAAAATCATTTTCAATCTTACAGGAAATTGTCCTGTATTGCAAAGCATGGCAGAGGATAAAACCAATCGATTTTTCTTCTCATTATGTTTTTTTTGTTCTGTTTTGTTTTGCTTTTTAACGTGGTAAGATCTGAAACAGGGTAAGGGAAGGGTAAGTTCATTCTATTTGCAAATAGGCTTACAGAAAATACTGGAACTGTTTTTCTTTTTTAACTGTTTGCAATATCATACTTAAGTGTTACCTATGGGCCATATAATCCAGCACAGAATTGTATGCATAACCCTCTGAAGTTTAATCATGCTTACATTTTTGCTGGGTTGTGGCCTTGGTAATTTAAACATTAATTTCCTATTTAGGTAATTTTGAGGGCTTATTATCTGAAATATGATTCATACATTTATTAAATATACATGCTTCCTTTTATGAATTCCTAGACTGTGTATCTCTCCTTTCTCTGCTTCTTACTTTGCCATGAGCAAGTCTGTGTGTGTGTGTGTGTACATATATATTGGATCAAGTATTTCTATGTTTCAAAGGAGAACCCCCCCCCCCGCAAGTGAAATGTATTTCTCAAAATATCAAGCTTTTATTTATTCTTTTGGAACAACTCTGATATGCCAGAGTTTGCAGTTACTACTATTAAGTATTATTCATGAAGAAAAATCATAGTAATTCTTAATATATTAAGTTTCTATAGAAACAATTCAAGATTGCAGTAGATAAAAAAGAACAATATAAAATAAATTGATCAAGGGAAGGAAATCATTGTGTACTTTTGTGGCACTTATTGCTATCAACCCAGCTTGGAAAAGATGAATGCATCAATCATTACTTTCACTCTCCAAAAGCAAAGACTTGGATGAAAACATCAATATTTTTTTACTTATTTGTTCATATTGCAGTGAAGAAAAAACCTTCAGCTGGTTTTTGTTAACCTCTTCTACTGAGATGTAAACACATAGACATTTCAGCTTATATTTGCATATATTTCACCCTATGTTTTAATTTATTCTATTAATGTTCTGTCTTTCCTGAGAGATTTGTATCTTATAAAGAGGAGGAAAATGCACATATTTTCAGCAAAATAAACAGTTTTCATCTACATATAATGGGATAGAAGCTCCATTGATGAGCAGGCTGGGTAAAATTTTATTTTCAGGGCAGGAAGAGAAAAATAGATCAAAGTGCATTAGAGCATCGGCACCATGTACTTCAGCTTATAAATGGCTCAAGAATGGATCCCACTGTGGGCTTGTCTGTGGTGACAGACAGTTGGCACAATAGCAGACATTATTAACATTACTAGCAAATTCAGCAAGTGGGGAAAGGTGGCATCCATTTAACTTTGGGAGTCCTTTTGAAAAACAAGATTCACGTGGTGTCTAAGCTTTTTTTAAAATATAATTTTATTGTAAGTTCTACAAACAAGAGTAAAAATTAATACAAACTAAAATGAAGAAAGAAGGAAAAAAGAAAAAGGAAGAAATAAAAGAGAAAGCTAAAGTGCTAAAAGAAAAAAAATAAGAGAAAGGGTAGAAGAAAAATAGAAAAGAAAAAAAAAAGAAATGGCTTCTGATCTTCTTTACAGCAGTTGTAAGTACAAATGTAGATTTATCTCTTTCTCTAAAGTTACATTGTCTTTTCTTTCTATAATCTATCCTATCTAATCGTCAAACCCATAGATCATAAGTTTATTTTTTTCTGTTTTACACAAGAAGTCCATAAGGGGTTTCCAGTCAGCAATCAATATAGATATTGTCTTTTCTCTAATCAAACAGGTCAATTTGGCCATCTCAGCAAGTTCTATCATTTTCACCAACCATTCCTTCAGCAACCACTCCTCCACTGTGAGTACTGACAAATCTTTCCATCTTGCTGCGGTTATCATATATAAAAACAAAGTTCCATGACTTTTTTCCAAATGTTTATCCATCAGTCCCAAGAGTAAAAGTTCTGGTTTCAGTATGTTTGTATGTTAATCTTTAAAATCCTCTGAATCAGTATATGCATTTGAACCCAAAATCTTCTAGCTATTTTGCACGTCCACCAAGCATGGTAAAATGACCCTTCTTGTTGTTCACTTTTCCAACATAGATTTGAAGTACTGTACCTTTATACATTCTAAATAATTTTTCTGATGTCATATACCAATGGTACATCATTTTATAAAAGTTCTCTTTAAGATTA